GTATTTATTCTATTCATTTTATTTTATATTACTTAAATAAGAAAACAATATATAAACATTTTTTTTTATTCTTATTATTTAAATTCTATAAGAAAAAATTACATTGCAAAATTATGCATCTCTATGTTAAATAAAAAAAGGAACTTATGATAAAATCTTATTTCAATTATAAAATTATAATTAAAATAAAAATAATATATGATGTATATGATGTATAATTCATAAAATTTTAACTTTACAATTACAATAAGTAATAGAAAAATAAAAAACTGCATACCATGTTCATATAGAAGATTTGAATTCTTATTCTATTCAATGTATAAGGCACGTTATTATATAATTAATAACAATCCATTGAATTAACATTTTCTTGTTTATACACTGTTAATATATCATCCAACACTGATTCAAAACTGGTGGTATATGTAGTTAACCATCGTTCTTTTTCATCAATGTAAGCATCAATATCTAAGTTAAAGATAGTTTGGAGAAAAATTTGTCTGGTTATACAGGAAATATATTGAAATGTTTTCTCTTCTGATTTTTGCGTTTTACTATCAACTTTCATTGAATTTTTATAGATAGAAATAAGTAGATTTGCATCATTAGCATGTACAATTTCTTCGATTATATTACTAGAATTAGAACTAAGCATCTCACAGTTGGAATCTGTAATGCTGTCCGATGATTCATATTTAACATAACAAGTATCTAATGTGGCACTATCTTTGGGCAGAGGCAATGCTGGCAAAGGCTCATTAAGTTTGTACTTCAAAAGGAATGTTTTTAATTTATTTGTTATATATGCTGATGTTTTGCATACTTCAAAATCGCTATCTTCTAGAGTAACTAGAAGAACCTAAAATTTAACATAAAATAATCATTAATTATATATGAAATATATTATATACTTACTCCCAAGCAATTTTGTTTCATTAGTTCATCTAATGCTTTATTGAGTCTTCGTTTTATTTCAGTTTCATTCAAAGATACAATTTTCCTATGTTCTTTTGAAAATGTTACTTTCGGAAAATGACCATCGAGTACACCTTGATCAGACAAGTGTGATTTTATAACGTGTTTCCAAAATTTAAGAGCGCTTATTTTTACTTCCCAATGAAGATCAAGTACAGCAGCTTTTATCATTGCTAATGTCATAGCATCGATAATATCTTTCCTACAGAATAATCATATCAATATTGATATTTATAGACAGTAAGATCCTATACTTACGGCCATTTACGATATATATATAATTCCTTTATTAAAATTACAACTTCTTTTCTGACTATGGCTTCATTTTCATTATTAAACAATATTATTGCTGTATTCTAAAATAAAACTATATATTTTATTTGTAAAAATCAATTGAGAATTAAATATTTTTTAATTATACATACAGATAAATCAAATTGCGATAATTTTTCATTCCACAATTTATTTATTCGAACACTAGTCGAAATAAAAATTAAAGCAGATGCACGAACGTAACTTTCACTGTCTGTTCTAGCAATTTCAACTGCTAATTGCAAAAACTCATTTGCCATTAAAAATTCTTGGAATGCTGGATATTCTGCAAATATTTATACATTATATACATTATATATACATTATACATGCATAAGTATATTTATAATAATTACTTACTGTCTTCTGAAATTACAGCTATTGTATTTAAAACTTCCAATACACTATCTCTTACTTCCCAATTTATATCATGTAATCTTTTAAATAATGTTGGTCCAATTTCATTCATATGACTATCTGTCTCAATTAATAGTACTAAATTAGGTGGCATAAAATTCTGAATTGCCAACTTACATACTTTTAAAGCTTTCACACAAATCTGAAAATAAGACTTTATAATATTTTATGAAACATTTGATGCTACAAATAAAATATACCATTGATGATGCCCCAGGATGATTCAAAAGTTCTTGTGCTAGTGAAAATAAGCATATAGTTTCTACACATTCTTGCCATTTTAATTTAAATTTCTCCGTCATGACTGCTAAACCATTTAAAAGTGAAGATAACAATGTAGGATGATCGATTATAGGATCTCCTTCTAACGGATACTTATATATTGTTTTTCTTGGTCCATTTTCTAAGTCTGTTGCAATATTTTTATTATCTATAGTTTCATTATGTGTATTTGGCATACAATTTCTTAATACATGACAGAGTGTTTGAAATACAATAACTGCAATATCCTGATATAAGAATATATATATATATATATATATACATATATATACATAATTATATAACTATATAACTGAAAATAGTTTATTCATAATAATTTATAATATAATAATCTTATTTATACATACCCTATCCATGATATCTGTTATTTCTAAAAGTATGTCAATAACTACTTTTGAAATCTGTGCTACAGACACATCATTTTTAAGTACAACATTTCTTATATTATATCCTAATCTTTGTACAGCTGTACATGTTACATCACATAATTTAGTAACAAACATATCAAAAAGATCATAATCTTTATATGAATGTCTAATACATAAACCCAAAGGTAAAATCTATTCACAAAAAAAAATTTTAATTATTCACAATTACAAAAATGTAAGAAAAATAATACTTACCATTAAACTTATAACTTGATGTTCAAATTTATGTTCTTGATTAAAAACAAATTTATGCAAAGATTGTAACTTTTTCCAATATATCATTAATAATTTATTTGTTTTTACTAATTCTATTATATATACTTTTGAAAGAAGCATCAGAGATATATAATTTAAATTACTATAGAACTTTTGTGATGTTTCAGTATCTATAGTTTTTTCTTCTCTAATGAATCGTTTAAATGGAATAAATAAACACAAAATTAATAGTTTATGAATATGTGATAAAAGTTTTGTACTAATACATGCTTCAAATAGAGCTTTCACTTTCATTTCTAAATCAATAATTTCTTGACATAATTCAGCTATCATATTATCTATGTCTGTAAACAATGTATTTTCGACAATATTGGTTAATAAATCTAATGTGGTACATAATAATTTATTTTGTTCTAAATAATTATCTTGTAGCACTTTATATTCTTGAGTTTTAAAATTATTAGTTATTAATGGTGCAGCCACTGTTAAAATAATTTCTTTACAAAAATCAATATTTTGTTGTTCATATGATAATAAAAGCCACAAAAACTTATGACTTTCATGAGTGACATATAAAGTATGATTCCGATGAGCATATTTTATCACATCTTTCCAAACATCTATAAAATATATATTTTAATATA